TATATATATATATATATATATATATATAAATGGGCACGTCTGGTCTCATTGGTGTATCCATCTAGAGATCCTAAAAAAAGGTTTGAAAACATGGTTTATTTAATCAAAATCTTGATTTTATATCAAATCAAAATGGTCTAGTTGGTTGATCCTAAAATTGCATTATGCTTCATTAATAAAAATATGTAATTAATAATGAAAATAATAAATTATACAAAACTGCTAGATTTTTTTTTTATGACATTAAAGCACTGGAGTGACTTTTTTAAAATATAAAATAAATGAAACACTTTGACTCACAATCATGAACATCTACAACTTCAATTTGGCAGACAAAGTCTCTTTAAATGTTTTTGAAATGAGCACATGGTCATATAAATATTAGGATAATTACATAACATTTACATTACAAACATTTCTGAAGCTAGTCCCAAAAATAAATAAATAAATAAATTACCATGCAAATTAAGTTTGAAAACATGGTTCATTTAATAAAAATCTTGACACAAAGATTCTTAAGAACCCTTTTTTACAAATATATATAAAAAACAAACTAAAATAAAAATTTGTATAATCAAGTTTTTTTTTTTTTTTTTACCAATTATTAATTATGTATTTTTATTATGTTATTAAAGCACTAGACTAGCTATGTTTTAAAATATAAAATATTTAAGTAAATTCGTGTCTGTCAGAATGTAGCTGTTAGATGTTCGTGATTGAGACAAAGTCTCCTAAAATATTTAGATCTTTTCTGACACAAGAAAGTGTTACATTGTAACATTATAAAGATTTTTTCATGATGTTAACAATTTAAACGTTCATGATATTTGATACATTAAGATGATTTTCTCAATATTTAGATTTTTTTGCACCCTCAGATTCCAGATTTTCAAATAGTTGTATCTCAGCCAAATATTGTTCTATCCTAACAAACCATACATCAATGGAAAGATTATTTATTCAGCTTTCAGATGATGTATACATCTCAATTTCACAAAATTGAAACTTAAAGACTGGTTTTGTGCTCCAGGGTCACATATATATATATATAAAACAACAAAAAAGTGCCATGAAAATCAAGTTTGAAGATCATGTTTATTTGATAAATGTTGATGAAGCAGGAGTTTTGGTCATGTATTTTAGTGTGTGATCGTGCTCTGAATGGCGTTTCTTCTCTCAGTTATCAGGATCCTGCGTTCTTCGAGGAGTGCAAACAGGAGTATCTCAGAGAGAAACGCGAATACGAACAGACGGGGATTCCAGCCAAGAACAGAAAGCAGAAGCTTCCCACCAGCATGTGATGAACGTGATGAAGAACACTGCAGCGAGGAGGAGGAGGATGGACCATGAAAGTCATTTCTGGTCGTTTTTAGAGACGCTGTTGTCTCTGATGGACGTTTTCTGTATCTGTTGCATTGCTGTGGTTTATATTCATGATTAGCTCTTATGAATCATCACTAGTCTAATAAGAATTCATAGAGAATGTTTCTGAATCACATTAGATGTGTATCGTCCCACAGACCCCCGGGACTTACTGCCACAGAACCTGCGGTTTGTTTGTGTGTTTTAAAATCCATAGCTCAGAGTTATTCATGATGCTCGTGTTCGGATGATTTTCAATCAGTTTGTGCTTCAGATTCAGGAAGTTGTTCAATCAGAACCTCCTGGAACGATCGTTCAGCTGCTGTAATTCAGTGTCTGTAATTGTTTGTAGCACTGTAGCAACATTTTTAAAAAATGCTAAATATAATATAAATAACTGGTGATATTGTGTACTTTTAATAAAATATTTTAAATTATATATAACAAAAGGTTTGGGGTCAGTAATGTCTTTAAAAAGTATCTTCTGCTCACCAAGGCTGCATTTATTTGATCGAAAATACAGTAAAAATTGTGAAATATTATTAGAATGTAAAATAACTTATCTATGTGAATGTGTTAAACTGTAATTTATTTCTGTGATCAAAGCTGCCAGGGTCACATATATATATATAAAACAACAAAAAAGTGCCATGAAAATCAAGTTTGAAGATCATGTTTATTTGATAAATGTTGATGAAGCAGGAGTTTTGGTCATGTATTTTAGTGTGTGATCGTGCTCTGAATGGCGTTTCTTCTCTCAGTTATCAGGATCCTGCGTTCTTCGAGGAGTGCAAACAGGAGTATCTCAGAGAGAAACGCGAATACGAACAGACGGGGATTCCAGCCAAGAACAGAAAGCAGAAGCTTCCCACCAGCATGTGATGAACGTGATGAAGAACACTGCAGCGAGGAGGAGGAGGATGGACCATGAAAGTCATTTCTGGTCGTTTTTAGAGACGCTGTTGTCTCTGATGGACGTTTTCTGTATCTGTTGCATTGCTGTGGTTTATATTCATGATTAGCTCTTATGAATCATCACTAGTCTAATAAGAATTCATAGAGAATGTTTCTGAATCACATTAGATGTGTATCGTCCCACAGACCCCCGGGACTTACTGCCACAGAACCTGCGGTTTGTTTGTGTGTTTTAAAATCCATAGCTCAGAGTTATTCATGATGCTCGTGTTCGGATGATTTTCAATCAGTTTGTGCTTCAGATTCAGGAAGTTGTTCAATCAGAACCTCCTGGAACGATCGTTCAGCTGCTGTAATTCAGTGTCTGTAATTGTTTGTAGCACTGTAGCAAAATTTTAAAAAAATGCTAAATATAATATAAATAACTGGTGATATTGTGTACTTTTAATAAAATATTTTAAATTATATATAACAAAAGGTTTGGGGTCAGTAATGTCTTTAAAAAGTATCTTCTGCTCACCAAGGCTGCATTTATTTGATCGAAAATACAGTAAAAATTGTGAAATATTAGAATGTAAAATAACTGTTATCTATGTGAATGTGTTAAACTGTAATTATTTCTGTGATGCGCAGCTGTATTTTCAGCATCATTACTCCAGTCTTCAGTGTCACATGATCTTCAGAAATCATTCTAATATGCTGATTTGCTGCTCAACAAACATTTCTGATTATTATCAATGTTGAAAACAGTTGTGCTGCACAATATTTTTTTTACAAGAAAAATTCTATCACTCAAAAATCAAAACCCTTTGAAAATGGGATAGTTTGTTAGAGCTAACGGTCATAAGAGCATCAGATACAATTTATATTCATCCTTCAAATGCAAAGTTACAATAATTCCAGAATGTATCATCACAGCATCACATCTCAACCCTCCACGGATACAGCAACGTTACATCAGACCTTTTAACCCTTAGACTTGAGCAAATACAAATGTTCACATGAATTCATTTATTGAATATTTACACATTTTCAGGATTGATAATCCTAAAAAATAATCTACTGTACATTGCATTTGGTTCTCAGATCGGTTGCAGTAGAGCCGAACGTGTTTCATGTCAAATCAAACTTCAAAACGTTTCCAGAAACACAAAACCTCCAGCGAGCATCAGCAGATCAAGCACTGTGGTCACATGATCAAACTGGCAAATCTCAGCTTTTAAAGGGATAGTGCACCCAAAAATGAAAATTCTGTCATTAAGCGGAAGCGAAGAAAATGTTGAATATAGTTGTTATTCCCATCGCTTCAGAAAATTAACCAGTGGAGTAACATGTTCTACTTCCATCACTGCCTTTCTGGGCCTTCGAAGTGAAAGTTGCTCAGGCTGTCAATGGAGGGACAGAAACCTCTCGGATTTCATTTAAAATATCTTCAATTGTGTTCCGAGGATGAAGGAAAGTCTTAGGGGATTGCAACAACATGAGGGTGAGTAAATAATGACAGGATTTTCATTTTAGGGTGAACTATCAGCACAAGATAACCTTCAATACCAGTTGTTTCTCAAAGTGGAACCTGTAGACTATTCTAAGTTTTAGATACACATACAATAGATTTTTCATCAGCTTTGTGCTTCACATTTCTTTAAACAGGACAGAACGCAGTTGGTATCAAGACAAAACATTTTACTGTGATCTGTGACAAACACTCGTCCGTCATTAGAAACACCGACTGCTTGTGTCTCTGTACATTATTAATGCCGTTAAGGTGGTTTGTCTCAGATTTTGGCCATATATATATGTTTTATTTTACAAACATCTTTGAAAGATTCATCAGTGCACGTGTTCTAAAGAAAAAGAAACATTACAATCATTCATCAACATTAAAGATTTAAAAGAAAGCCTTTCACAACCAGATCCATTGATTCCTGATGGATAAAATCACATCTTCTTAATGAATACTCATCAGATTAGAGAAGTAAAATGGCATGTTTCATGTTGACTTTAAACAGGGCTTCAGTTTCTGATTCTTCAAGAATTGCAAGAATCTTAAATATAGCAATTAAGGAGCCAAACACAACAAAATGAGGCAAATGAGGAGCTAAGCAAGGCAGCAAGCATCAGATCAACTGCAATGAGTAATTTAAAGATGACTTTAGCCAAAATGGCTAAAAAATCAAATGCAATCACTAGTAATATGATGCAATGGTTTATCGCTTTTGACCAATAGGTGGCGCTGTTGTCAAATTGATGTGGTGAGGTCAGTGTGAGGTGACAAATACACACATACAGTTTGGTGTCAATATGTCAAAGCTTTGCACAGATACAGCCTCAGATGCAGCAGTATGGCAGCGTGTTTGCGGTCATCAAATTTGTTGATGCGTTAAGCAAAAACCGTTTTGTGACAAAACATTTTACTGTGATCTGTGACAAACACTCGTCCGTCATTAGAAACACCGACTGCTTGTGTCTCTGTACATTATTAATGCCGTTAAGGTGGTTTGTCTCAGATTTTGGCCATATATATATGTTTTATTTTACAAACATCTTTGAAAGATTCATCAGTGCACGTGTTCTAAAGAAAAAGAAACATTACAATCATTCATCAACATTAAAGATTTAAAAGAAAGCCTTTCACAACCAGATCCATTGATTCCTGATGGATAAAATCACATCTTCTTAATGAATACTCATCAGATTAGAGAAGTAAAATGGCATGTTTCATGTTGACTTTAAACAGGGCTTCAGTTTCTGATTCTTCAAGAATTGCAAGAATCTTAAATATAGCAATTAAGGAGCCAAACACAACAAAATGAGGCAAATGAGGAGCTAAGCAAGGCAGCAAGCATCAGATCAACTGCAATGAGTAATTTAAAGATGACTTTAGCCAAAATGGCTAAAAAATCAAATGCAATCACTAGTAATATGATGCAATGGTTTATCGCTTTTGACCAATAGGTGGCGCTGTTGTCAAATTGATGTGGTGAGGTCAGTGTGAGGTGACAAATACACACATACAGTTTGGTGTCAATATGTCAAAGCTTTGCAGAGATACAGCCTCAGATGCAGTATGGCAGCGTGTTTGCGGTCATCAAATTTGTTGATGCGTTAAGCAAAAAACGTTTTGTGTATCGACACAAAATTCATAACTTTTTGTCGGCATGGTGTGAAGATGATCTGAGTCAAATTTGGTAAAAATCGGACCAATGGTCCAGGAGGAGTTTGGCTATTAGCATTTTTTAAGATTTCATTCAGATTTTTTACCACAAAGTGGCACTGCCCCAAAACTTTTTGAGTATCTTCAGGGTGTGGTTTCAAAGATGCATACCAAGTTTTGTGATTTTACGACAAAATTGACTAAATTAAAAATGGCCGACACCCAAAATAGCTAATGTGGTGTATCATTTGACTCGGTTTGTCGCACCAAATTGAAAATTAACAGTTTTGTGATTTTTGGACAAATTGTTCAAAAATAAAAAAAAATCATATCTCCTGACCACTAGGTGGCGCTGTGCCGAAACTGTACAGGTATTCTCAAGTCATGGTTGTTATAACACACACCATGTTTGATCTCAATACGCTAAAGCGTTGCGGAGATATAGCCTCACGTCCATTTTGGCATGCTCTTCGACAAATTTGTTTGCACGTTATTCGAGAACGGTTTAACTAATCAACTTGAATTCCATAGCTTTTTGTCGGCATGGTGTGAAGATGATCTGGTTCAAATTTGGTAAAAATCGGACCAATGGTCCAGGACGAGTTTGGCTATTAGCATTTTTTAAAATTTCATTCTGATTTTTTACCACAAAGTGGCACTGCCCCAAAACTTTTTGAGTATCTTCAGGGTGTGGTGTCAAAGATGCATACCAAGTTTTGTGATTTTACGACAAAATTTACTAAATTAAAAATGGCCGACACCCAAAATAGCTAATGTGGGGTATCATTTGACTCAGTTTGTCGCCACCAAATTGAAAATTAACAGTTTTGTGATTTTTGGACAAATTGTTCAAAAATAACAATTTTTCATATCTCCTGACCACTAGGTGGCGCTGTGCCAAAACTGTACAGGTATTCTCAAGTCATGGTTGTTATAACACACACCATGTTTGATCTCAATACGCTAAAGCGTTGCGGAGATATAGCCTCACGTCCATTTTGGCATGCCCTTCGACAAATTTGTTTGCGTGTTATTCGAGAACGGTTTAACTAATCAACTTGAATTCCATAGCTTTTTGTCGGCATGGTCTGAAGATGATCGGAGTCAAATTTCCTGAAAATTGGAGCAACAGCCTAGGAGCAATTCAAAAAGAAGCAAGTTTTTCGAAAAATTCAAAATGGCAGGAACATTTTCATGATGGAAAATGACGTCATAGGGTGCCATCGAATCAGCATGAGCCGAGGAATTTTGTTTGTTAAAGGAATTCTGAATTTTTCAGAGAAATTTTGAAAAGAATTTTGCTTTTGCTAGACTTTACGGTTCAAAAGTTATTAGCATAAACATGAGTGCAAATTTGAGCTGTTGGTGGCGCTATAGGGTTAGAGACTCCAAATTTGCTATGGTTAATGTTGAGACTGTCCTCTATCTGTGTGCCAAATTTCATCACTTTCTCGCAAGCGGTTCTGTGGGCTGCCATAGACTCAAGAGCAGAGGAAGAAAACTAACGGATACAGTAAGTTCTCTGGCCCTAAAAAAAGTCGATCATTTACTATAGAAAGACTTTTTAATATGCAAATTTTCAGGTTGACTGCGAGACCCCGTTTAAAGCAAAATAACTTGCACAAACACACCCGCTGCCCACAGATCAGCTCATTTATTGACTAAATCTAAACACTAAAACTTTGTTTCCCCTGATTTGGGGTTTGAACAGCTGTATATGGGTATAAAGACACGACAGATGTGTTCCTAAAGAAAAATCCTTCGAGGAGTGCGTGAACTACTAAAACATTCCCCTTACACGTTCATAATACGAGACAGGATCCGTCACGGTTAATAGAATCGACTCGAGATGAACACAAGCCTATAGGATATAATGAATCACAAATATACGTCAGGAACGCGTCCATTCCAGCGTCCGGCTCTCGGGTGTTTGGTGTCCCGCGTGGGTTTCTCCGTCCCAGTCTGCTCGAGGTATTTGCTCATCCGGGATCATCCAGAGAGGGACGTGTGTGTTAAGGCAGGTAAGGTGTGGTGTGGCGGGAGCGTGACTCAGTGCGGTTGGGCCCAGTCGCCGGCGGGGCTCTTGGGCTTGGTTTGGTCCCAGAACAGGGCGTCGCTTGGACGGGGAGGGCTGGGGAAGGACCAGGAGCTGTCGTCCAGCGAGCTCATGCGCAGAGTGGGATTGAGCCGCACGCCGGGGCTACCCAGCGGAGCCGGACGAGGGACGGTCCAAGGGTCCTTCAGGCAGTTCTCCTGCA